GTCTGAAGTCAAGATAGAGGCATTGCTGCACCAGAAGAGTAAAATACTTTCCAGAAAACGAAAAACCCATCTACAGCCACCCGCACAACTTGGTTCAATGGATGCCAGCGATGGCCAGCACAACACAGACAGCTGCCCGGCAAACCTGACGTGCACAGCTATACCGTCACATCTCACCACATCATTCCTGTGTTACTGTTATTTGAACCTCCCAGCTGCAAGTAGCTCTGTAGAGCTTGCACATCGATAATTGGGTAATCTAATTTTGTTTGTGACCTAAATCCTACTTGGACACAGAATAGATGAGGTAAAAGGTGGGATGTTTTTCAGTCAGTTGGAAATAGCAATTGAAAAACAATGGGTCGGAAGTTTAAGAGCTCACCCTAACCATGGGTTGTGTCCTCCAGCCTCTGCAACGTCTGCTGCAGGGAAAACAAAGTTAGCATTTGTTAATCTGCTCTAAGAAGTACAGTCCGAACTAATGAGAAATGTGGTCTGAACTGACAGTTCTCCATAGCCTCCATGGGCAGCCAGCCTGCAGAGCACAGCGATCGCACACAGCCTTGCTGACTTCAACCAGGCACAAGCAGGAGCATACACTTCCCCAGACTGGGGCATCGGCTGTCAGTAAAACACCTACACCTTCTCTAGACTGAATCCTTTCAAGTAAGAATTTTACTCTCCAACTTCTCTCTGTAATTCAGGCTCTATTCTGCCTTTACCCTGTACGGGTCACATGTAAAAATGTGTACCACTGTGCTGTAGGGTGTCTACAGACAGGCTGGGTTGTACACCATAACTAGACAAAATCTCTCTCTGTACTTACAAAGTAGATTTGGTGGTAGCGGTTACAGCTGAACTGAATGAGACACACATCCTCCGTAGCTCCATCAGTGGCATGCAGTCACAGAACCAGAACGGACCTTCCTTCCAACCCCTTCCTCGCTCCCTGCTGCTCAACACATTACCCCGGGGCTCTGCCCACCTGCCCCATAGGATCCCTCCAGGGAAGCCATTCACGGTGCCTTTCAGTTGCCCATAAGCGATGTCTCGGCCCTCAGCATCACCAGGAGGGCAGCCTTCAGGGAGCCGCAGCCCAAATTCCAGCAACTAGAAAAGTACCTCCAGTTTCTCATCTCATTCAAAGCCACCCTGACTCAGTCTCCTATTTAAAGGTCACTTCAAAGCCCCCTGATTTTAACACATGTTCTAATTCAGAAAATATTTAGGGCAAAACCCTAACAGCACTGGAGACATAAGGGGTTTTGCTACTGGCTCCAGTCTGAGCCATTGTAGCCTCTGCTCTTCTAGTCTCCTCCTCGCTTGGTTTCCTGGTCACCCATGACAAAGGTGACCTCCTTCAAGACATCCCAATACAGCTGGTAGTGGATGTACTGGCAAGGGGGAAGAAAGAATGTGTCCTGGGCAGGGGCTGGGGGTGCTGTGGGCTGGGCAGGGACCGGGCAGGAGCAGCAGGGCCATGCCACCCCGCTGCCAGTCAGCTACTGCAGTCCTCACCAGCTCTCAGCTCCAGGGCCATCACAGAGATGGCACAGCAAAGCTTAAAGGTCCCAGCCACTCACCGGCTCCTGCTGCTCCTCCATGCGGTCTCATGTTCCTATGTGTTGCTCTGTATCCTGCCCTGGACCCCACCTCCTGCGGTCCCTTAGCACTCCCAGCAGCACATTCATAGATCCTGGAGGGACACAGCCCCATTCTGAGACCCAAACCATAAGACGTGGCTCAAAACCACTACAGATGGGAAAGGAAACACAAGAGGGGGACAGGAAAAAGATTTGGGAACCGATGCCCCAACTTTCTGTGTTCCGTAGCGTTTAATCTATGCTCACTCTCCCTGGAAATAGTATTCCAGGACAGAGCCTATATATTAACAAAAAGCCTCTACTCATGAGAGCAGGGAAGCTCTGGGAACAGCCTCCGGGCAGGAGCACCACGAGCATGACGCCTGCTGGGCTGCAGAGGGCATTCTGTGCCATGGGATGTAGGGCAACCAGGAAGCACCGGTCAGAGTCTTAATAACGTCACGTTTTGCAATTGGGATTCCACAGCCTTTGAAATCGTTCCTCCAGATAACATGCCATTAAAACCAAGGAAATAGCACGAATGACTGGAGTCAGAAATCATACATGGATCATCTAGGAAACCTCCCTGTGGAAACCTCCCACCCACGTGTGCATCACCCCTGCTCCAAGGACCTACACTCCACTCCTGGCTTACAGCGATTCCCAAAATGGTTTCCTCCACGCTCTCCAACTTTTTTTCCAACACCCCCAAGACCTCTCAGACTGAAAAACAAACCCCCCAAAAAAAGCCAAATCACACCTTGATAGGTTACGCAGGGTCCACACCCATTTTACCAGGGTAAGGAGCCTCAGCACTGAGGGGGAGTATGGCTACACACAATATCCTGAAATTTCCAAGGCCACCCCTGGCACGACGTGCCTTCCCTCCTCAGCAGCGGTGTCTTTGCTCCGGTGATGCAGTTTACACAGAGGTTTCCTCCCTCCTACCACACGCACGGGCACAAGGAGCCCCATTTGCTCCTTTGCTTTCTGTCTACATAGCAAGAAACCACACTCTTACCTGAACATCCACCAATCCAGCCTGATCAGTTCCCCGACCAAAACCTGTTAATCAAGCAAAATACAGCTAATAGGCAATTTACATCTCTTGGCAGCTGCAGGACACTGCTGGCTGCTTCCTCTCGTGCCCCAGCCAGAGCTCAGCACGGGCAATGGGCAGTTGATAACAGGACCCTCTGCCCTCCTGGAGGCAGGAGCAACGGGACACCTCCGGATCGGTGGATCCGAGTCACAGAAACCCAAATTTCGTCTGAGAAATTGACCTCTCTGTACCTTCAGATCCACCCATCTGGACCAACAGGGTCTGCACAGGGAAATCCCCAGCGGCACCGAGCCAGCACTCATCTCGGGAGGGCGCCGAGGCCACTCTGCTCCATCAGGCTGGGGAAGAGAAGCAATTGAGTGAACAGAAACACACCTTGCATGGGGAACGCATCTGGGCCTGGAGGTCTGGAATATCCAATTCAAATCTGAAGTCTAGAAAGCTTTCTAGACAACAGAGGAAAAAACATTCCAGCCTCTCTGGGAAGCAGGTGGGAGATGCAGAGACATCACCGTGATGCACCAGCTGCGAGACAAACACTTGAGAGAAGCATGCAACCAGGAGATGTGAAGGTTGCTTTTGAGGAAGAGCATCCACTACGGACAACACAAAGGACGTGAGGATGATTTAGCTGTACCCAAGCTTAGTAAGCCTCAACACAGAGAAAGCAATCCAACCAACAGCATCCACCTTTTTCAAACAGAAATGCCTATTTACAGCTTGTAGCCTCCCAAGAAAGCTTTAGCGCAGACACATCACCATCATTTTTGACACTTGAACAGTTCTCACATCCAACCCAAAACACTTCCAAGCCCTCAGAACCAGTTACACCATTAACCAGCCCACCCCTGCCAACAACTGCAACTCCCACGGACACAGAGCAGCACCTTCTCAGTGGACAGTGAGTCACTTGCACAAACACGAAACTTAAGATGTCACCGACTAACAATGAAAGCTCTTCTGTGCTAGACGGGAGCCGCTGTGACTTCCAGCGAACCCAAGACAGAAATCCATGTAGATAAACACAGAAAAGTCAAATCCCTATAGATGGCTGATGGAAACTCGCTAGCTGAGACTAAGTCCTGTATTTAATGGACAAGTGGAGGTTTGAGAGAGGAAAGAGTCCCAGACAGGGTTCTCCAGAAAATTGTCACAAGGCTTTGATGATGTTGAGGGAAAGATACAAAAAGTGAATATATAAATGCTAGCTCTACAGCCAGTGAGAATACTCTATGTCAGATAGGAAAAGACAGAAGGAGAAAGGAGGACTCACTGGAAAGGTCACTTGGGGCGGTAAGAAGAATCATCTACAGTACTCTATAAAATTTCTAGATGTTGTAATTACCATTGATAACTCCTCAGAAACATATTTCTAACTCCATAAAGGCTTGCTTGAAAATCCCCATCATAAGGAAGCTACCAGAAAGAGAGCCCAGAGGGTGTATCCCGGGGAAGCAGAAGGTACTGAGCTCAAGGAGAGAGGCAGCGACATGCAGAGCCAAGCAGAAGCAGCCTATGACCAGGGCCACCCCAGAGAGCCCAGGCAGCAGGGGAACCTGCAGGTGCAGTTTCTGAGACTTGTCGCTGACAAAACTCTCGAGACCTGCTGGGGGAACTTGGAGAGGAAAAATTTGGGACATCTTTGCATGCTAGCTGCATTCTGCCACACGTACAAGCTGTGGGTGCGTCACCCATCCATCTAGATTGGTGGATCTAAGGATACAAAGCTAGTACCTTCTGTGACAATGTACTACTGTTATTTACTAGCGTCAGGAACGGCTCGGTGCCACAATGGCATTCAAACTTTGGACAGGGATAGCCTGTACTTAGCTGTCTAGAAAACCCAGTGAGAGCTAATCACTGCGTAACTCCCTGACATCTCCGTGTCGGTAGAATGACAATCCTCAAACCTCTGTTTATTTTAGTGCTGAAAAAAAAAAAAAAAATCTAGCATAGTTATGTCTTTCACAAGTAATACAGAAACAAGAACTTCTCTCTATCAAAAAGTAATAAGCACTGAATAAAGAGACAGGAAAACAACAGTGAATCGGTCTGGAACTTCATTATAGGCATATCTTGAATTAGCAGCTACAATTTATCTCAATTTAATCAATTCTGGAAGGCTGTAGCTCCAGCGTAAAACAGGAAGATCCTGAATTTAACCTTTTTTTTAATTTGGGGGGGACAAGGGGGGGGGGAGGAAGAACCCAACCCAAACCAAAAAAATTCTTCTACAGTGACTCAAACTAACAGATTTGAGCAAACTACAAATAACTGAAGAAATCAAACTGCATTTAAAATAACACTGTGTTTCAAATGTGTTCCACTAGTTGTGCCTTTGGCTTTGTACTCACATGTGTGGATTTTGGAAAGGAACTCCAGAAGTGTTTAGAGTAAATCTTGCTGTGGACTTGAAAGGTGGATTTGCAAAATTTAACTTCAGCGCTTTGCGTTTACCTGGGAGACAACGAACACAAAGTAAACTTTGTCAGCAACAAAATATGAAGAGCATCTGGAAATAAACAGGAAAAGATAAGCATATTGTAACAAAAGGAAAACACATTTCACAACAACATTAGCAAATCATAGCTTGTGTTAGGGACACAGGGATGGAGAAACAGAGTCAGCTCTCACCCCAGCATCTTCCCCTATCTCATTCCAAGTCAGCCACCAAAGCGAGGTGTCACCTCCTGTGACAGCTGGAACACCAGCATCAGCTGTCAGGGGTACGGGGCACCTCCACACCATGGCCCTGAGCATCTTCCATGCGCAACCGGTCCCTTACACAGACCCATGCCGGTGGGCTCACCTTCAGCCACAGTGGCAAAGGGGCCCAACCTGCCCAGCACAGCCTTGGCATGCCACCAGACGCAGGGTGGATGGTGCTGGGGAGGGGAAGGGCACCTTGTGATGTCTTTTATGTAACACCCCAACCGTAGGAGGGCTGACAGGGTTCCTGACCCTCCTCAGCAAATGGAGGTAACCAGGCTTGAGCGAGGATGGAGCAGATCTGCTGTGCTCTCCCTTTTACCGTGTGGGACACCAAGCAGAGGGCAAAATTCAGCCCACCAGAGGGGTGACCAGATGAGAGAAAGCTTTGCTCTGCAGCCAGCTGAGAAAGCACGGGGAAAAAGAAAATAAATAGTAGGGTGGAAGTGGTCCTGGTCACCACTGCAGCCACTGGCTATGTATTTTTCATTGAAGCTGAGATGACCTGCTCGAGCTAGAGCAGGATTACAACTATGAAGGGAGATGTCCTTCCTCAGCCCTCCCACTGGGCTATAGAAGACCCTGTCTTGTTCCTGTTCAGACATAGGAAACCTGTGCTCCTCTCCACAAAACACACCAAGACAAGGCCTCTTCCACCCCACCTTCCCAGGACCCTGTGACTGAACTCCCCCAGGCTTCCTGCTGCCTGGGTAATGTCTGAACGACTCACCGCTGCTCATCCCAGGAGGCAGCAGCCACCCAAAGCTTGCCTGATACCTGGATTTCTCCAACACCCTTCCTTTGCCTGCACCCTATAGCAGATGTCATACTCCCAGCTCTCCTGGGAAAAGCCAGAAGGTACCATCCTGCTCTGCAGCATTCCTATACCTTGCACAAAGAGGTATTTTGGATAACTCCAAGACCAAAAGAAAGAGAATAAACTAGTTACAGGTCAAAGCACTTTACAGCAATTTCAGGCCATGAAATATTTCAGGCCATGGAATATTTCAGGCCATGGAATCATTTATGTTGGAAGGAACCTTTAAGATCATTGAGTCCAACCATCAACCCAACACTGCCAAGTCCACTACTAACCCATGTCCCTCATCACCACATCTACCTGCCTTTTAAACAGCTCCAGGGATGGTGACTCAACCGGTTCCCTGGGCAGCCTGTTCCAGTGCTTGATAATCCTTTCAGTGAAGAAATTTTCCCTCCTACCCAATCTAAACCTGCCCTGGCGCAACTTGAGTCTGTTTCCTCTTGTCCTATCACTTGTGACACAGGAGAAGAGACCAACCCCCACCCCACTACACCCTCCTTTCATGTAGTTGTAGAGAGCGATAAGGTCTCCCCTCAGCCCCCTTTTCTCTAAGCTGAACAACCCCAGTTCCCTCAGCCGCTCCTCATCAGATTTATGCTCCAGACCCCTCACCAGCTTCCATGCTCTTCTCTGGACATGCTCCAGCACTTCAATGTCTTTCTTGTAGTAAGAGTTTCTGAGCTCAGACTTTTGCAGCACATACGCCCAATGAACTGCAGAAGAATCACTTAAAGGAAGCAGAAGAGCTCAATTCGCCCTTATACATGACTCAGAATCAGAGGAGGAGTTGAACAAAACCAAAAAGGTGGTAAAACCAAAATGAGAGTCTATGATTTTCTGCAGAACTTAACATCCCTCCACATCTTTGATGTCAATCATCCATAATGTTCTGAAAGATCAGATGTTTGCATGACCAACAGGAATATTCATAGACTCACAGAATGGTTTTGGTTGGAAAGGACCTTCAGAGACCTTCTAGTCCAACAGCCCTGTCATGGGCAGGGACATCTTTCAGTAGATCAGGTTGCTCAAAGCCCCGTCCAACCCGACTTTGAACACTGCCAATGATGGGGCATCTACACCATCTTTGGGCAACCTGCGCCAGTGTTTCACCACTCCCATCATAAAAATCTACTCAAAGGTAACATGAATGATATTGTTAGCCAACAGAGACGCGGAGCAATCTGTATCTTATGTCTGTCTCTAAGAAGTTCTGCAAGGCTCCTCTAAAGCGTACCGCTGCAGGCAGATCTGCCATCACCCAGGAACCAAAGGTTTCCTGGCCGGATCCTCTGTGAGTGAACAACCTGACACACGGCCACAACACTGCACCGTCACCTGACTGATCTCCGAGACCTCTTCTGACTACATCCCTGATGGCATCTCCCTTCTTACACAGAGCAAAACGAGTTCACAACTGCCAATGATCTGGGGGATGCAATCACTTACCAGCCACATGCATACGCCTTAAACCTTCCCCAGCTTGTCTGGTCTCCCCCGGTCCTCCCCCGCTGCGGTGTGGACAGGCATGGGTGGTGAAGCCTGGCAGGTACCTGAAGGTAACAGTCATACAGCCCCTTGCTCACTTACCCTGTTACCGCAGCATAAACTCTGCTCTCAGACTAGGTCCAGGGATTTACAGTGGTCATCATTCTTCTAGCTTTGTTTTATTCACACACCTGAAACACTATCCCTCTTTCAAGGGCAATAATACAGTGTCACAAGATTTTCCCTTTCTAACAGCAATGTTTATATAATGTTTGTCTTTGAAGTCGCCCAACGCTGAAAATGACACAATTAACTACAAACTCTTATCAAGAAAATCTCCTCTTCTCAAAACCCACTCCTATTCTTCCTACTGGCAAAATTTATACACCAAGTTTCCTCCTGTTTTCACACTGTGACAGAACATTTTTTATCTGTGTTAAAAGTCAGTCTATTGATTTCTATCTCAGTAGGTTTCTAAGAATAGTTTCAATGATGTCAATCCATCATCTAGAGCTGAATTTTCTACAAATCCAACAAATATGTTTCCAAAGAAGCATAACCTGCCCCTGGAAAGCAAACAGGATGGTTTGCTTTTGCTCAGCCTATGAACAAGGAACATGATCCAGGAGAAACAGACATCCTGAGAAATGCCGGGAATTTCCATTCAGCCCAAGTCACCGTACAGTAAATGAAACAGCACACTAAAATGAACTAGAAGTCTGACGAGAGACAAAGCAAGCTGTCTTCTCCAGTTGAGCAGCCTTTCAAAAACCAAGTACTTCAACTATGTAGTCTATGAGTCCTGAGTTCCATCCCAAAAAAGACTTCTGACAGCTCCAAGCCCCAGTTCCTCACAGAAACTTCACTCAAAACTAACTGGAAGCAAAAGAGCCTCTGTAGATGTAAGAGTTTTGCTGGTGCTTTTGCTACGTGCCAATTTAACTCAGAGCACCCTGTTCTACTATAATTAAGAGGCTTGGGGTTAACGTTGCTTCAGAAATTCGCTACTGCCCCTATCACCATGAAGGCTGGGTGTTCAAAATTGTCCTTAACTGTGCTGCAGAAATATCCACCTTACGTAAATTAAACATCCTTTAAAGGTTTTGCTAACTGAATACATAATTCTAATCATTGACCACTATGACATCTACTGCTCTGAGAACTGTACAAGTAAAGATTACACGAAAAGTAACAATTTGGAAGAAACCAAAACTAACCTTGGAACATACCATTTTTCCACAAATTAGGTTAATCCTCAAAACTAGACCTCAAACCATGAAGTTTCTTGACGTAGGGTCTTCCCAATTTTGACTAGTGGATTTGTTCAGCTGTATGTTAATGGTTACACTAAGCCCAGACTACATCTGAATGCTGGATGGCCTTGGCTTTGGCTGAGCTGAAGTGGTAAGGTAAGTATTTGCTTATGTTTTGAGGGAATCTAAACAGGATTATATTATAAATTATGCTCCTCTCAGAGAGGAAAAAGACAGCCGAAATAGCTCTCTGATTGTAAATAAGTTAAGCTTCTAACCATAAAGATAGCAATCCTTATTTTAAATCAGTGCAGCCATAAATGTTCTCAAATCCATTTTTAAAAGGATGTTGTTGTTCTAGCAACAGACCACTGCATAGAACTGAGGTAAGGGAATACACGATTCCTCATGTCCTGCTGCTCCACAAATGCACATCCGTTGGCCCTTCACAGACTTTCGCCAAAAGGGACACAGTGAAAAGTGGTGGGGAAGCCTTGCCAAGCTCCTACTGGAGACCCACCTACGCAACAGCCACAGAAGAAAAATACAGGCTTATAGCACACATTCGTTTCTTGCTGCACTGGTAAATGGATGCTAGGTGAAATATACAACTATTTATGCGCTGCTATCCATCACTAGGATTAATCCAAGCACTTGGCTCTGAAATTAGGCTCTCATCACTCTTTTTGAGGCCCCTTTACCACAGCCACAGCCAACCAGTCTTCACACAAGCAGAAATAGCTGTCTAGCAGATAACTTGCAGTTCAAAGGTATTCCTGCAGTTATATTCTGTATTGCTATCTTTACCTCACCTAGGAACTCTACGATTTCTTCAAGCCTCTGAGTTACCTCCTGCTGCGGAAAGCAATACTAATTTCTTCCTAGAATTTCTTCACCCCCATCCCTGCATGCCACACTTCAACACCACTGCTAACGATGTTCATGTCACACATGAGAAAATGCTCACCTTCCAAGCAGTAAGATTTTCACAACAGCAGTAATTTCATGGGTTTTTTTCAAGGTTTCTGTCTTGCAGGGATATAAATTGATCCCTGCCAAAATGCTCTCCACTCAGTTCAAATCTGCAACATCAATCTCTTCTTGTCACAGTGTGAGTGTGGCTCTGTCATAGTGCAAAGGTGACTATTCTCTCCGGTTGGATGCTGAAGCCTCTGCTCTTTGTGGAGCAACAATACGCCAGGAACCAAGTCTACACCATTTCCCTCCTATAGTATAAACAGAAAAAAAGAAATGCAACCACAGGAAAATAAGTTGTGGCAGCAAACAGCAGGAAGATGACCAAAGGATCTGCACTAAGCTGTAATATTTTTACCCTGCCCTGGTAAAATTAAAACATGTCAATGGGGAC